AAAGAAGTCGCTGACTGCAGACGCGGTTGGCGAAACTTCAAAGTTAATTGAAGGGAGCTTAGATAATGCAGAAGACATTGCCAATAATGGTCAAGGATCATCCGATCGATCCACAAAAAACTCTTCTCGAAAAAAAGTCAAAATAAATAAAGCTACCAAGCAAGATGTAAGCGACGAACAAGATAATTTAAGTTTGAATAACATTAATTCCCTAAGTAACATTCCCGACGAGAAATCGGTGTCTTTAAATGGGAAGGTTTCCTCGCAAAAGAAAAAACACAATATAAGAACGACATCCGCTCGTCGAAAGAATATGTCTCGAAAATCATCTCATGAGGAAGATGACGCCAAGGTGGTATCCGAGAACGTCGCCGTTAATTCTCCTCATATTAGCATTGAGGAACATAAATCGAAAGCTAATGGAAACTTAACTCCGCAAGCAAATGAGCCATCGCCGAAAGGCACGGTTAAAAAGGAATCACCTGCTAGGACCAAAAAAAGACGTACCAAGGTTCCGGATCAAGAAATTTTAGAAGAAAATTTGAAAGTCACAAATTCACCTATAAACCAAGAGGCGACATTGAACAACGGCATATCTTCTCCGCAATCTCCGACTAATGAATCGGGCAGATTGATTTTGCATGTTGGCAAACCACCTGGAGACGACTTCGAGAACAAAGAAGAAAATGAGTCAATAAACATAGCAACACCAAAGACCATAGAAGGTGATGAGGATTCATCACCACCGAGTGCAACCCCGACAAGGCCTATACGGAATAGTACGTCTGCACAAAAAGGAAAGAGCAACGTTGCGCCGATAGGAGGGAGAAAGCGCTCTCCATCCTCAAGAGCAAGGAGGAGTTCCTCGAGAATGAAATCTCGTTCTTCTCCATCAAGGGGAAGATCAAGGGGCGTAAAGGCGACTATGACTATTGATGAGCTCGATTCCGAGAAAGAATACGAAATGTCGACTTCACAAATTGACCGTGGAGAATCGTTAGGTCCATCACAATCGAAACCTGCTGAAGCTAACTTACCTCGATCGGGACGACGGCGTACTAAAATCCATGCAACTTATTCGGATGAAGAAGATGGCTTAGTCCAAACCGATGAACTTCAAGAACCTCAATCTGTTTTGTCAACCTCATCACGAGGGAAAGTAAGGAAAGGAAACAAAGAATCGAACAATTCTAGTATTACCTCTGTAAAACAACGCACGAGAAAAAAAACACTTAGTATTAAGGAAACCGAACCATCAAGAGCTCGGAAAAAACCTCCAAATAAGATTAAGACGAGTGACGCGGAAAGCTCTGAGTCCGATTCATCGGAGAAAGATTCATCCAAAGAGCGACAGGATGAAAGCTCGACGGATGACGGCCAAGACTCGGGTACTTTGACCGACTCAAATCTGGAACAATCGGTTGTATTAGATCCTTTCGGTGGAAAATTAACACCAGAGGAGGCAGACACATCTAAGACAATTCCCGATCAACATGATAAGGCAATGTTCGAAAGTGCAAAGATTCAGGTGGAAGCGGTATGTGATATATTTTGAAAGTATCAGAGTAAAAAAAAAAAAAATCTCGTATTTATTTATATTTGGCACAATCATATTTAGAAGATGCAACCGAGGGAGGAAATAACTATGGAAATTGAGGATCAATCTCAAGTTTTTGCCGATGCCACACCTAAAATACGGACAATTAGATTTGGCGATTGGGAAATAGACACCTGGTTCGTTGCCCCCTACCCGGAGGAGTATAGTGTGAACTCGGTGCTCCATATCTGCGAATTCTGCCTGAAGTATATGAAAAGCGAATATATCGCTGATCGACACAAGGTTTGTCACCGAGTTTGAGCGTGAACCGTTCAAATACATGAGCTTAAACGCTCTCATACATCTCTACTCATTTAGTTGAAATGCCCGATGAGGAATCCACCCGGTGACGAGATATATCGTGACAATGCCATTTCTATTTTCGAAGTAGACGGAAGAAAAAATAAGGTTTAATTTCCGTGTCACCTGTCTTATGCCATAACGACGACTAACATCGCCACCAAAAAAATTTATATTTTTCCATGCGGCCATGCAGATATATTGCCAAAACCTTTGTCTTTTGGCAAAAATGTTTCTTGATCACAAAACTCTTTATTACGATGTTGAGCCATTCCTTTTCTACGTGATGACGGAATCGAATGAGACGGGATGCCATTTTGTGGGATATTTCTCAAAGGTTTGCGGCATTTGCGCGGACCTATGATGCAATCATATGTGAATATGGCTAAACTTAATTTATTTTTATATTTCAGGAAAAACGTTCCCCATTGAATTACAACGTATCATGCATTCTCACTCTTCCCATTCATCAGCGGAAAGGATACGGAAACTTACTTATTGAATTTAGTAAGCGTTTCAAATTTAGATTTTTCTTTTAAAAAAAAAAAAAGATTCTCAAACGTGGGTATTTTATTAGGTTACTTACTATCGAAAAAAGAGAATAAAACCGGGTCCCCCGAGAAACCTTTATCTGATCTTGGGTTGCTTAGCTATCGCTACTATTGGCGAAATGTGCTTTTTGAGGAGCTAAGTCAGCCCATGGAGTCTTTGAGCATTCAAGGTATGAAAAATTGCTTATTATCCTTTAATAAATGTTTGGGCGATGGTATTTTTAATCCAGGTTCGAATTGTTCATTTTTAGAATTAAGTCATAGGACAAGTATGACCGTCGACGATATCATTGCCACTCTCCAAATTAACAATATGATCGAAAAGAATAAGAGTAGTGGCACTTATTGCATTATTGTAAAAAAAGATGTCATTGAGGGTCACCTGCAAAAGGTGTCAGCGAAAGGCTATCCGCGAATAAAACCCGAGAATCTTCGATGGACACCTTTCATTTTAACCCGAGCCCTAGGATTACGTACGAATGACGACCAAGAGGAAATAGACGACGGTGTTGGACATGTTCTCGGGAATGACCGAGAAGACGATGAAGAGAGTATGAAATGGGAGTAGATTAACTTCCAATTGGTGCAGAGAAAGTTACAAGTAATATGTCAATAAGATTGTTGTGAATCCTTGGTTTAAAATTTTATTTTAAGTAGTATATATCATTTGAACATCAATTAGTATGATTTAAAAACTAATAACTTTTTTTTTTTTTTTTTTTTGAAATAAAATAATGATCAAGTATTATCCCGTCATTAGGTTGTCTTTGTTGTTTCCAACTAAAGGATCCTAGGATGTTCGACAATTTTAGTTGCTGAATTTGCATCTTTTTTTCAAGTACATTGTAGTACGTTGCAATAGAGGCCGTAAATGCTTCCTCCATCAAATCCCGTCCAATCCTCGAATAACAGAGGATGAATTTGAAGCCTTATGCTTCACTTTATAGAGGACATTTGAACTTTTAATTCGTACTACAGGTGTTCTTAACGGCTCCACTGGGTTAAATGAATGCTTTTACATTAAGAATGCGGTTTTCATAGATACTTTCGCGTGAGAACGAACCTTCAAAGTTGGACCAGTGACTTCAAATAAACGTGTAATTCGGGGACTTTCATTATAATAAGCAATATACTGTATATATATTACAATCATACACAAATCAAAAAAAAAATTGTATAAAACAAGAATCTATAATAAATATAATGTATTTAAAATTGCGTAATTAAATTCATCATATTTTATATTAATAAGTTGAAATAAAGTTATTTCGATTTTATAAATGATAAAAAAATACTATATAGGATTATGTTGAAAATATTATTTTCAATATATTATAAATATGTTATATATTTTTATTTTTTTAGTAATTTACTTTTTTTATTTATTATTTTTTTTTTTTTTTAATCCGCCGTCAGGCTAAAAAAAATTTTTTTTAAATTTATATTTTTAGATATACAGTGTGGGACACTTGCTTTTGAAAAATTTTAATTAATTATAATTTAATTAATTATTATTTAATTATCAATTTTGCTAATATAAAAAATTTTTTTAAAAATATATTATTTAGAATAAAATAATTATTTATTAAAGTTTATTGGATAATTTATTATAAAATTTTATTTTAAAGTCAAAAAAACTATTTTAAAAACCATACTATAAATTTTATAGATAATTTTATATATGGTAGTTCACAAAAATCTTGTATCATCAAAAATTTAAATGTCAAATCAGATTAATCAATAATAATTAGTATTTAAAAGTAACCAATCAAAATTAAAATTAATAATCTATAAAATATATATATTTTTTGTTTTTAATTATGTTCTTGATTTTTTAAAAATCAAATCCATTAGAATCAAGATTATCAGGTCATTTTAGAAATATAAAATTAACAAGATAACATAAGTCGGATTCAGATTTTGTTACAAAGATAAAAATCAAATTATAATATTCTATTTTATAAAAATATTAGAAGCTAAAGTATCCTATTTATAAAGATAAAGATAAATGAAAAAAATGAATATATATGTATATATATATTATAAATAAAATATTTTATTATATATATAAAATAATTATTAAATATTTATTTA